GTGATTTTGGTTGCACGCTCTCGAAGTCTTCGGCCAAGGTGCTCCCAAACGTGTTCTGTTGGATTCATGTCAGGATTTTGGGCTACCCATGGCAGTGCCTTGATTCCTTGCGATTCCTTCCAGGTCTTTGCTACTTTGCCTGGGTGACATGGTGCTATATCTTCTTGAAAGGGTATATTGGTTTTAAATAGTGAGAGTAGTCCTTTCTCTAATATTTGACAGTATTTTGGACCATTCAACCGCTCGTCAACAAGAATCAGCTCTTATTTCCTCCAAACCAGACAGCGCCCCACACCATTACCCCAATCCCTCCATTTTTCACGGTCAACTGCAGACATTCAGTGTTCCAAGTCTCATTCTGATTTCTCCAAACATAAACCTGTCTCAAATTCAAATATTGGCAGAATTTACTTTCATCTGACCAAATTACAGACTGCCAAAATTCATAATCTTTGCTCTCGAATTCTCTCGCCCAGTCCATACGAAGGTTCCTGTTAACCTCTGAAATCAAGGGGCTTCTTTCTTGCAACTCTTTTTTGATAGCCTAGCTCTTTCAGAGTCTTTCTCACCGCATATGGCGACATTTCCATGCTGTTGGCGATCTTTGATTCTTTGACGCTCTTTGACGACGGTTTCTGATGACTTCCCTTTCAGTGCCCTTTTCGTTCGCTCAGACACGATGATTGGTCTTCCTGAATGTTGTTCCACATGACTATGGCCTTCTTCATTAAATTTCTTGACAATATTACTAAACGTTTGATGATTAACCTGGAAAAACCTAGCAATTTCTTTATTTGACTTGCCACACTGATACCATCCTATTATTTGCCCTCGTTGAAATTCACCAATTATTTACTTCCGCAAACTCTCATTGCAAAATATAAGTCAACTATCGTTCATAGATGAGAGTAGCTTGATACTAACATGGTATTGTCTGAAAAAAGAAGAAGAGACGTTGTGAAACAAACCAAAATTGCTGTAATCAAGGGTGGCTAAAAACTTATCATAGCAAACTGTATCTATAGTAGCTAAAAACTTATCATAGCCTACTATAAGTCAACCACTTATCTACGCTTTGAATATTGCTGCCTCATATACTCCGGTGCATCTGCTATATATTTAGAGATTCTTGATAAAATCCAAAGAAGAATCGGCAATATTATTAGCGCTGATTTGGCATCTTGGCTTCAGTCACTTTGTAAAGTTTCATTCCTGTGCCTTTTCTATAAATACTTTAATGGTAATTGTTCGAATGAGCTCTTTGCCGTGGTACCTAGACTTTATGAATTTAAGCGCAGTACTAGATTGGCAACTAGGTCTCATCATTTTACATTTGAAACGTCTAGATGTAACCGTAAGTTCTATGCTAATAGTTTCTTCTCTCGCACTTCTCACATGTGGAACTGTCTTCCGGCTCCATGTTTTCCAGACAAATTTGATCTTCAAAAATGTAAATGCAGATTTAATTGTTATCTACTCTCCCTGATTCCTCTTCTTTCGTTCTTCCCTCCTTAATAATGTTTCTATTTTCTAATTCTTTCACATTCCGTAATCCCTTGTGTCTTAGTGAGTTTACAGCCTTCCGTGGGGTGAATTTGTAAAAAAGTAAATCACTCAACATCTTTAATCAGAATTGACCTTCTTTCTAATTTGTTTACTCTATCGCTAATAAAGACAAATGGTGATCCCTTGGTACAACCCTCTATATATCCAATAGGTTTCACTTTACTCTGCAATTTAAAACTTCAAAAATGTCACATTCGAAGTTAAGCTAAGGATAATACCCAAACAGTAATAGGCAAGAGCAAACTGGCGTTTTAAAAGAGAATATATATAACAGTTTGGATTAGCGGATAGCGGCTTGGATTGAGGAATCGGAGAGCTGAGTTCGAATTCCAGTCCGATCCATTATATTCACTTACGTGTTAATAACCTTGGGAAAGGCATGAATCCTCTTCTTCTCCCCGCAGCTATGGGTTAATAGCAGGACAGACTGGGTTTTATAACCTTGGGTGGCAACCGATCTAGGAGAAGGAAAAACTTCGAATTCAAAGCCGATCTGGTGAGGATTGGGCTCTGTCAGGTTATCTTGCCCAAGAAACACCACTTCTACTACGACTGCAGTACACATGGTACCCCTGCGACCCTAAGGATCACTGGATAGAAATTTAAAAAATACACAACTGTATAAATTGATCACTCTAGGGAATAATTATAATTCTCATTAATAGTGTTCAATACTTGTAACATTTTTTAATCCAACTACAAAAACTACAAAAAAGAGAAATCAATTTTTAGTTTGACAATTGATTTTTGACGCGGTAGAATAAAATCGGTTTTTCAAGATAGTAGTCTAATAAAATGTTTAATTTTCATTGGCCATTAATTTTCTTGTCTATTTGATAAGATTGATTGATTCATTGATTTCTTTTGTACGGCTAATCGAACCTTTCGAGGGAAAGCCAGAAAATATTTTTAGATTGTAAGAATTTCTTTTTACGTAATAATGATTTAGTGATACAAGTCTTACTAATTAACCCATAGATGGGGGTGAAGAGATGGATTCATACATAATCAGAACTTGATGAAGATGAAATTATAATGTGGATATAAAATGGGGGATCAATTTTATATTACAATCAATATATAAACTGATCCCTCACTTTAGTACTTTCTGTACATTTACATTCCAAAATCCAAAAGAATATGTCATATTTAATCAGTATTTTTGATTGATTTATTTTTTGCATTATATACCAACTTTTGCAAGTTATTTAAAACCAGAAAATATTTTTTCCCCATGTAAAATTTTTTTCATCCATAATAATGCAACGTTTGTTGATAAAAGTCATATAATTAAATGCTTCTATAGGGAGAAGAATGGATTTATATGTTTTATAATCAAAACCTATAAATTGTATCTCTCAGTTTTATTACTCATATTTCCATTCTTATTCAAGCTGTAATTTTGAAATATATTTATCCAAATGTCCGATCATCACGATTCTAAAAGGGTCACCTTAATACCTATATGAATGCCTACTGCGCAGACTCATTAACCTGTTTTTGTTCGATATAATGTGTCTCTATTTCTGTATATAGTTTAAGTTAGTTATAAGAACTCGAGTTTGTTTGTGGTCACCGAAAGGCACATAATTCTTAGTTGGACTTTCGTTTGTAGACAGAATTTAAATTGGTTTGAAATATTTAACAAAGAATAAAATGAAGAAACAAAGAAATCAATTAAAATTATTCCATCTTGATCAAATGGCAATTTTTTTTGAAAACATTCAGTCATTTCAATTGTATAAATTAATCATGAAACGAAAATTTTAAAAATTTTTTTGCATATCCATAAAACCGCACCCCTGATTTTTGTTATTATTTTTTGAAAAAAAAATTCGTATTATAAAAAGTTTCAGACCCTTCCTCCATGATTTCACCAATTCAATATTCATAATATTTAACCCTCGCCTGGAGGGGGAAGATTTGGATTCGTATGTTTCCCAATGATATTTCGAATACAATAAATCTAACAAGAAATGGAACTCACCTGTCCGAGTTAATGACCATTATATTAACCATATATCCAAGCTTACAGCAACAGGTATTCCCAAGCGGTCACCCATCTAGATACTAACCAAACTTAACGTTGCTTAATTTCGGTGATTGTACTGCTGTAAGAAGATAACTATTCGCATTCTGCCGTTTTAGTTGAAATTTTTCGTTTTTAGTCTGTATTTTTCGGGAAGAGAAGTTATCATTAGTAACGTTGTTTAGAGTCGAATTAATGTCCTCATCTTTGTTGTTATTATCATAACGTTTCAGAAGCTAAGCATTCCAGCCTTCTTCAGGTGTCTGCTAACCCAAGAAAAAATCCTCAGGAAATTCAAAATCAAACCGTTTATTTAATCCACATATGGGGGGTTGTTTTTGTTCCGTTGTTCATGTCGAGTGATACCTCAGTTTTTCTTAATAATAGCTGTATTCCGAATGTACAAGAGAAACAGAAAAAGATAAGTTATCAAAAAAAAAAAAAAAAAAAGGACACAATTTTATTTTATTTGAAAGACTTCAAACTTACGAAGAATAAGGACCTGAATGAATTCAGCTCTTCTGCTTTTGATTCTGCCTGCTATATTAGGTTTGGGCTTACTTTGTTTTACGGCATATCAACACCTGAATGGGTTATTTAATGCCGATAAGATTTTTAGTATAGTTTCGTATGAATAGAATATGTATTATTTTTTTTTAAATGTATGGCTGGTAACATTTTTTGGCAAAAGAAAATGTTGCTGGTAATAAAACTTATATTTACACTTTCATACTCTTTTGACTCCAGTTTAGGCGTTAACTATTTTCCCATAGCTGGGACCCAAACAGATGCTACCACTCCGGGTCAGGGTGGACCTGAGAAGAGTTCGTTCCACGCTGCTCAAAATCTCACAATCAGAGGCCTTGCTGCCAGATGTAGTTTATCGTCATACTCAGGACGCGGATGAAGTTTAACGTTATGCCCAGGATACCTCATTGGGGGTACGGCCCTTCTGCAGAGGTGCAGTGGTGTGTTCTGAGGCCCCAGTCGACAGGACAAGATGTATTAGCTATCTGGTGTTTTCATAGTTATAGCCACATTATCATACTCCAATAACGCGTCTAGATTCGTAAATGTCACATGTATTGATGTGTTATTTGATTTTACTACAATTAAACTCTGTAACCAAAACACTCCATTGAAAATATGACACGAAAAGAAACGAAAGGGAAAGTGAAGTATTTTTACAAAGTAAAGAGTTTGAAAAAAAAAGTGAAATAAAAAACTAATACAATTAATCAAATATCGTGGGATCGGAACCCGCGTATCGTTCGGTTATTTTAGGAATGGTCTTTATTATATTACCATTCGGAAAATTGCGTCATAAGGTTTCAATCGGAAAGTGCTATACAGATATGATAGTTCACTGCTATATTTAAACACTGTAAATTAACTAGATAGCTAGCTAGCTAGATAGATAGATATTAACATTCTGAGATAGATAGATAGATAGATAGATAGATAGATAGATAGATAGATAGATAGATAGATAGATAGATAGATAGATATGAACAGAGTTAAAGGAGGATAAAAAGACAGAAACATATGAACTACGAAAGATAGATAAATAGTTAGATAGATAGATAGTTAGATAGATAGATAGATATTAACATTTTTCAGTTTTAGATAGATAAATAGATAGTAACATTCTAAGAGAGATTTAAAAGATTTTGATTTAGATAGCTAGAGATAGATATTAACATTCTGAAATAGATAGAGATAGATAGATATTTAGATGATAGATAGATAGATCTTTAACAGAGTTAAAATTTGATAAAAAGACAGAAAGATATGAACTACGATAGATAGATAGATAGATAGATAGATAGATAGATATGAACAGAGTTAAAGGAGGATAAAAAGACAGAAAGATATGAACTACGATAGATAGATAGATAGATAGATAGATAGATAGATAGATAGATAGATATTAACATTCTGAGATAGATAGATAAATAGATAAATAACATTCTAAGATAGATAGATAAAAAAAGTGATTGGTAGATATCTAGATAGATATTAACATTCTGAGATAGATAGATAGATAGATAGATAGATAGATAGATAGATATGAACAGAGTTAAAGGAGGATAAAATGACAGAAAGATATGAACTACGATAGATAGATAGATAGATAGATAGATAGATAGATAGATAGATAGATAGATAGATATTAACATTCTGAGATAGATAGATAAATAGATAGTAACATTCTAAGATAGATAGATATTAAAAGTGATTGGTAGATAGATATTAACATTCCGAGATAGATTAGATAGATAGATAGATAGATAGATAGATAGATAGATAGATATGAACAGAGTTAAAGGATAATAAAAAGACAGACACAAATGAACTACGATAGATAGATAGATAGATAGATAGATAGATAGATATTAACATTCTGAGATAGATAGATAAATAGATAGTAACATTCTAAGATAGATAGATATTAAAAGTGATTGGTAGATAGCTAGATAGATATTAACATTCCGAGATAGATAGATAGATAGATATGAACAGAGTTAAAGGAGGATAAAAAGACAGACACAAATGAACTACGATAGATAGATAGATAGATAGATAGATAGATATTAACATTCTGAGATAGATAGATAAATAGATAGTAACATTCTTAAATAGATAGATAGATAGATAGATATTAATATTCTTAGATAGATAGATAGATAGATAGATAGATAGATATTAATATTCTTAGATAGATAGATAGATAGATAGATAGATAGATAGATAGATAGATAGATATTAGCACTTTGAAATAGCTATCTAGCTAGCTAGATACTAATCGGGTCTACAGCGGTGACTTGTACATTTACACGGGCTTGGCAAACAAAATCTTCCGACTGTATCATTTCTTTGTCTCCTTTATCAGGGTTAGGGGCCCGGTACACCTTTAAGTAGCTTGATAGGCCAGATTGACTTTAGCAGACTTTTCCACACTCCTCGCAAGTCAGATGATTGATGTCAGTCAACCCAACATCAATGACTGACTCGGTCTGCATTTGATAGACAGACTCACCATTACTCTTGACAGATAGACAAGCCCACATTCTTGATAGACAAACTGACACGTCTGGATCGATATTAATAACTTTTCTTGCATCTCTCTTTGTTTTAACTCGGATATTCGGATTCTTTTAGAAATGACACAATTAGCTTTGCACTATATTTATTCATGGGTATTTATTCGTACATTTCTGTCACACATTATCTTTTCTCATTTGGAATCGATCTGATAACATCATGGCATCTCTCTGACAAATCGACGATCATATGATTCGAACCCGAATCTAATAGTCCAAAAACAAACATTGAAACAACACGGCCACGCATCCATACCTACATATTTTCTGGTCATGATACCGTTTGTGATGTCAACGAACCCTCGTTGCCGCTTTTGTAATGCTCGTTGTAGTAGAGACATTGTAATCGCAGATACAGCTATAGTAACGCCGTTGAACAATACTGGTGTACAATACTTGCTCGATAATACTCGCTCGAATAGTAATCCGTATAGTGATCCGAATAGAGAAAGAGTATAGTAAATAGAGTAGGGAATAGCGGTACGTATAATAATAGAGGATAGACTAGAAATGGCGATCCGAATAGTAACAGAGGATAGACTAGAAATAGCGATCGTTAGCCGTCACGCAATTTCCTATTGATGCGTTTCCCCCTATGGTCACCTGATCAACTTAATTCAATAATGGGATCGCCTGTGTTTGCTCACTGGCTATCTATGTTCAAACTCAAGTGTCGGCAGCGACACTTTATTCCTATATAACAATATCTGACAGGGAGACTATACGAATATCAAATGGTGGCCTCATTGTAGAGCATTTGTCAGCCAACTCGTCTTTTTGTTACTGTAGTGAGTTCTTTTCTCACAAATAAGGCTTCGTGTCAGAAAAATGCTATATTTTGTAAAGGGTTGATAAGCCGTAAAAAATAAATCTATCATTCAAAACTTTAAATGGCACATCATAGAAATAACGTCAATCTTATGGCAAGTATAAAAGAATACATAACTGAACTAAAAGACAACCCTTTTATGAATACTTGGCAGGAAATGTTTAGAACTGATATTTTGTGAAAAAAAACTCCCACGTGGATGCTTCCCTGAACTTTACAATCTTAACCTCTTCATGGGTCAATCGTTTATCTTCACTTCCTTTCATCTCTTCTTACATTCATATCACACAAGTAATTCAGCAACCCCCTACCTTGAGTGGCACTTGAGCCTTATATTGGTATAAAAATATCACTCGTAAAAATCTATAGATATTGATTAGGCTAAAAATTCTATATTGGCACCCCCGCTCCTTAGAGTAATAGTAAAACGAGGAATATAAGTTGGCCTAATGGGTTCAAATTCTGGTTAGGTTTCTGTTGATTTTTTTTTTTTAATTACACTTTCTTTTCACGAGGTTGAAGAATCTGAAAAATTAAGTTTATAGCCATCATTACTTTTTAAAATCTCTTAATTATGAAAGAAAGGATATTGTTATTTGCTTCATGCAACAAACAGGTTACGTTTGCACACATCACTTAATATTGGCACCATTCCAAAGAAGCCAAATCGATATTTGTCATCTTATTCGACTGAAAGCCAGTAAAACCGAGATGGCTGGCGGAAAGCAGTCAAAGAATTACTGCTGTTTCTGCAGGATAACAGGACGTTGTGATATCTAATCATCAAACAATTGTGACGAATGTCGGTAATGACAGGAAAAATAGAATCTCTCAGTTAGCAACAAATTCGCAAGCCTACACTTGTTTGAATTCATCATCATCTTCAGATTAGCATGGAACTATTTCTATAGACCTTCTCTGAGCAACATTTGCTTGATTTATCGAAATTAATAGAAAGAAAATCTTATAAATATCTTAGTCTGTTAAAAAAGACTACAAAAGAATTTCTTACGCTTGACACCGTGGCCGGATATTTGGCCAACAGACATTTGGTCGGCAGACATTTGTCCGAGAGACATATGGCCGAACAGATATTTGGCTGAAAAATTACAAGTAAAAATAGTAACAAGCAATACTTTAAGTATTTTAATTCGCAGTATTATAAGGTAGAATAGGACTAACAATTACCACTGAATTTCAAGTGATTAAATTACTAAATCTAAATTTAAAGTTTTCTTATTTCAATATTTTTTTTATTGAAATTAGTATTTTTAAAATTATTTGAGTGTATTTTGTAAAACGTAACCCCTAATTACTTAAATTCGTATTTAACAGTAAGATAAAAATCTAGTTCATCCCTTTATGGTAATGATCATTAAAAACGAAAATGAAGGATCTTTCATATCGTAAAAGCTTAAGATTTTTGCTGTAGTAAAATATGTTTTTCTCAAAAGACTTATCATCTTACAGTAATATTTGAAGTAAAATATAATATATACTGAATAGATTTTTAAAAAAGCCTGTAACCCCCCCCCAAAAAAAAAACCCCGAAAGATTATAAATTAATACAGTAAATAAATATAAATATGTGTAGTACATTATGATTAAGAGTGTGACATACATGTAAGTACGCCATTACATTTTCGGCTAAATGTGTCGGTGTTAACTCCTCCTGAATTTCCTAATTGTACACTACGGCACGCTCTTCTTACACTATAAATACTGGGCAATTTCTTGCCTCGTTCTCTTTTTACTTTGCATTTAAAAAATGTGATCTCTCGCAGAGATCTGCGTTTTGCCCACTTGTGGGAAAACGCCATGAAACACACACACACATAAACGTACGTACGAACATTCATCAAAATACAAACTCTTTACGTTCACACACAAACACAAATGTTGACGTCTTTGTCTATTGTAAATTTTGTTGTTTAATACATATACTTGTATAAATGTATCGGTCTTGTTTGTTTTCTTTACATCTTCGGTTGGACTCAACTTGAGACCGCCATATTCTTGTAGTGGATCTTTTGATATTCTATCAGGAGTTACACACGTGTTCCTAATTTAACAACACGTAAACGCCCGGTCCGCTACAAATGTCCATTCGGTTAAATGTCCGTGTACCGCTTGACACACTGTGGTCGCGTTATCATTTGCTTATTTATCTCCGCCGCTCGTAGACATTGACGAAGTCTAGACAATGCCTATACAGTGAGCGCTGAATTTTGAGACGTCCGTCCACGTACTGACCAATGTTTGCAGTGAACTCTTCCTTGGTTCTAATTAGAAAAATATCAACTCAAAGAACGTTCCCAGTATAATAAACTACAGTTCAAAATTATGGAGTTAACCATTTGAAAGAATGACAAAATATACATTATGAATAAACTTGGTAATAAACCAGAATTACTAGAGAGAAGCTTTGAAATTGACCCAAACAAAATAAGAAACAATACCAAGTGATAAGCCTCTGCCTACAACAACATTTAAAAGGGATCTTATAGAATTAAAGGGTTGTGTGTTGGGTTTATTAAAGGTAGGTGCGTATTTCCATATAAATAACTAATGTAGAAGCATATAAAACATTTTGGTTTCTACTACGGACACTTTATTCATTTTTATGTAGTGGAAACTGTAGGGAAACAATGTTTTCAGTGTCTCGTGGATATGTCTTTTTTCTTTTACTGGCGCAGTATTTAGAGCAAGTAGGTATAAGCACCGTTAGAATGGTCAGGCTCAAGTCAGTCTTGCGCGGAGTTGGAACAACCAAAGAAATTTTTCTATTTATTTCATCTTTGGAGGGTCAGTATGATTATATTGGTCAGGCTCAAGTCAGCCTTGCGCTGAGTTGGAAACGACCAAAGTAAACGCTAATTTACTTCATAGGTGGCGGTATAATGGTCAGGCTCGAGTCAGCCTTGCGCTGAGTTGGAAACGACCAAAGTAAACGCTAATTTACTTCATAGGTGGAGGTATTGGAAAATACATGCTTTGGAAAGGGGATAGAGAGTTCAGTTGTTATTGGACCGAGGAAACAAACGTGTACCATCGGGGACGTCTTTTTCCACATACAGCTACATCTTGGATCAAGGAGCAAAAAGAGGAAGAGGGAAGAAATATTTGTTTTTATAGACTTTAACAGCGCCACCTAACTAGCGTTTGACGTAGCTAAGTGGGGTAATAAGAGTTCCGGTTCCTTTATTACTAGCATCACGGGAAAATGTATTTCTTTTTTAAATTCTTT